TCCTCAGTGATCCAGGACTCTTCCTGGACTTCCTGCCCCTTCTTCCTCATCCCGTCTTGTTTCTGTTGAGGCCTCGCTCTGGACATCTCTGGATTCCCTTGGGTTGGGCACCTCCTCTAGTATGTAGCTAGATACTTCCCAGGATACTGAGGAATCAGGGTCTCCGCTAGCTGCCATCCACTTGGCGTCTGGCACCAATGTTCCAGCGGCTGGTTTGCTGCCCCAGGTGAGGCTGCTGTGGTCTGGGTTTGCCCTGGACCCTCCATTTTGCAGGCCAGAGGAAAACTGGAGACCAGATACAGTCATGCTACAGCTGCCTGGAGGCTGGACATGGTACCTGCTTCTCTGTTGGGGGGTGGGGAGTGGCAAGGGTGGGCAGGAGCTATAAGAAAAGACAAAATGAAATAAGAGCCAAGGAAAGGTGGTCTCCAGAGCCCTCATGTATATTCTTTTTGATTTGTCATATGGTGCATGCATCACTGGAGAGAGAAGGAGGGAAAGTGAGAAAGCACCCCCTAGGGGGATGGCCACACCACAATCCCCTCTCCTCCATTTTTCTCTTGGAATTGTGGGTGTGCATGTACATACTCCTCATATATCTGGCTTGCTTGCTTTCTCTCTTTTCAGAGAGATTTTTGCTATAGGGTGTGTTCACTTGCTGGAGAGACAGAGGGTGAGAAATCGCTCCCCAGGAGGGATGATCATGCCACAATCTCTTCTCTCCATTCTCCTCCTGGGTTTTGGGGCACACATGCACACACACCCAGAGCGAGTTTCAAGCTACCCGGTCTGGGACTTGAACTGCAGTTGGCCATGTGGGAGTCCAGCAGCTTAACCACTATACCACCTGCTGGTCCCTCCCTGCATGCTTTTCAAGCCTCCAGGTCTGGGACTTGAACCGCACAGTTGGCCATATGGGATCCAGGTACCTTCGCCACCATACCCGGGGCTGGCCACATAAAGAAAGCATATTTAAAAAGTGTAATGCCAGACAGGTGATTGTTTTCTATAAATGTCTCATCTAATATGTTCTTCCTCATTATTCTGCGTATGTATTCGTTTTCATGTTTCTAGCAATCTTACTCTTTCAGAGACCAGACAGTCCAAGGAGCTCCTCCTGACCACGAGAAGACGAGCAAGCCCATGAACACAGCCTTCAAGAGCCCAGTTCAGTGTAGCTTACATCTTGGGAAGGGGGGGGGATTACATGAGATTACAGGAGATGTTGGAATATGTCTTTCCCTTTTCTCCCAGGAACACTATGATAATAATCTCTTTTCCAGAGATGGTGACTTCAATGTTTTCCATGTATGAAGGAAATTCAAAAAGTTCATGGAAAATGGAATTAAAGTATGAGTTTGTTTTGGTGCAAAAAACTTGGAAATCTATGCATAGGTTTTTCATTGTACACATTTTTCATGAACTTTTTGAAGACCCCATCTTATATTTAAAAATTTTCAGATCAAAACCCTGCAGAGGGGGCCAGCAGGTGGTATGGTGTTTTTTTTGTTTGTTTGTTTGTTTTGCTGTAGGGCACATGCGCTCGCCAGACAGACAGAGACAGAGAGACAGAAAGCGAGAAATCACCCCCAGGGGGGATGACCATGCCGCAATCCCTTCTTTATTCTCCTCTCGGGATCCTGGGCATGCATGCACGCACACATGTCCGGCATGAGTTTTAAGCCACTGGGTCCGGGACACGAACCGCGGTTGACTACATAGGAGTCCAGTGACATAGCCATTACTCTTAACTGCTTGTCCCCTGGTGGTATGGTGGTTAAAGGCGCTGGACTCCCATATGGCCAACCATGGTTCAAGTCCCGGACCTGGTGGCTTGCTTTCTCACTTTCCCTCTCTATTTCTGTATCTCTCTGATCAAATGGAAAATAATAATAATAAAGTTAAATAAAATAATTCTTTAAGAAAAAACCTGCACAGGTGATTTCCTGCAGCAGCATTTCCAAGCATTTTCCTTAAAAAGATCGATATGCAAATTGAGACTTCTGCTGCATAGTACATGATCCTGTAATCACCCTCATTTGTAGAGTTTTGATAGAAATGCTTTCTTTTATTGTAGGGATTCTCAGAGCCCTCACTGTGCTAATGTAAGAATAAGCTAAATCAGGATGCTGTAAGAGCTGCCACTCCTCCCACCCAGCCCAGGAGGTGACATCAGTCACTGAGGATGAAGATTGACGGGATCCTGCAGAGCCCTCAGCCTGGGACTCACACTCACCTGGACCATCTGTAGCCCTCGCTCCACAACCCAGCCTGGGGCTGGGAACCTAGGGGGTACACTGGCGTTCCCGACTCCAGACCCAATGATGAGGATTCTGGGCCTGGATCTGAAAGGGAAGCACAAGAGGGGTGAGTACCCAGAGAATCTGCCTAGCCCCTACTTATCTCCAGGGTATGCCCTCCCACCCCCCGCCCCCAGCCTCCCAGGGCATCATCCTCAACAGACCTCCTCACACAGCTCTGGGGTGACCCAAGCTCGGTACCCCATTGCATGGAAGAACTCCATCTTTAGCTTCAGAAACTCTTTACAGAGGTCTGGCCACTGCTCCTTGCCCAGCAGAAACTGGAAGATACTCCGCTTGGATGTGGGGTTGTCCTCCTCCATGTCGGAGGCAATGTAGCTGCCATAGAGGGAGAGGAAGCATGCCTTTCCCTAACCATGTCCCCCAGCCTGAGGAGGGACAGGGCAGAGAGTTCCCACTGGAGGAACCACATGCCTGACAGGGTTGAGGGTGTCCAGAGAGAGGGTCTGAAGAAGCATGATCTGCAGGGTGACCTGGGTCTTGTCACTGAGCCTGCAGGGCTTGTATTAAGTCCAACCTAGGACAAGGTTCTACTGCCTTGCACTCCCCCGGGGCCTTGCCTCCCTCAGGTAACTCAGTCTCTGGGCAGCAGGTGTTTCCCAGCTACTCCATCATCTAGGACATCTTCCTCCCTGTGATCACGTGGCTCCAGAAGGTCTCTGCCCTGTGGCCACAAGGAACAAGCACATGGGGTCCTTGGACACATGGGCATGGCTGAGCTGCCCTGACAAGGATGTGGAATTTGAGGATTTGGGCACACTGAGCTGGTCTGAGGTGGCGCTCACAGGGCCAAGAAGAAGTGGATCCTGTTGTAGAGGTGTCCAGGCAGCCCGACGCGGCCGAAGTACTCCACCACCATGGAGAGCAGGTACTGTGTGGGGACAGAGATCTGGTAAGGGGCGGCCAGGGATGAATAGAGGGAGAGTGTCCTGAACAGGCCATGGGGACTTCCCCCACCCACAGGCCATGGCGGGGGCTGGATGGTGGCACAGCAGTGTGGTGTCACACTCTGTGAAGCAGACCCACAGAGAAAATCCTGGTTTATATCAAGAGACCTCCTTGAGTACACTGGGCACGTGTGTTCATATGATCTGGGACTGACTGAGACTTGCAGTAGACTATGTTGTCTCTCTTTCTCTCTCTCAGTTATGGAATAATTAAAACAAAACCCTCAAAGGCCATGGTGGTAAAATCGCTCAGGATAGAACTTGTGAAGATGAGCCCTGAAGCAGTTGCCCTGGGACCGGGCCTATGCCCTTCCTTCTGGGTTGAGAGCAGCTCCCTGCATGGCTTTTCCCAGCCTGGCAGGAATGTTTTTTTTTATGGTGTGGAGATTCTACAGGCCTCTCTGTCCCTCCTCAGTGTGGTGTTGAAGGTACCTTGTCAGACACTTTGAGGAAAATGTCAGCTTCCAAGAAACTCTGGATAACGGGATCCTCTACAAAGGAAGGAAGAAGCAATGAGGCCGTGGCACAGTCCTTCTGGAAGCCCTGAGTATCGGGCTGTGATATGTTGTGAAGGGAAGGAGGAAACCTGGACCTTCTCCTAGCCTCACTGTCTCAGGGAGGGGAAGCCAACTGCCTTTCTCCATGAGAGTTATGAGCCCTAGTGTCAGTAACAGCTGCTCTTCCTTCCACTGCCGTGTATGTATTGGGATTCAACTGTGAGAAACAATTTGCTATTGTTACTTGATCCACAACACCACAATGGGATGTGATCAACTTGTTCACTGCAGGGATATACAGACTTACCTCACCTTGAAAGCCCAGCAGCCTAGGTCTTGGTGACATCACAGCCTTGTCACTTAATCATATTGTGACTGTGCCAAGCGTCCCTATCCCCTCTGGTAACCGAGCACCCTGGGCAGGTAGTGGAGAGTGCATAGTCCCTAGGATGCCTGGGCATGGCCACTGCTCTCACTGTCCTGAATCTTCCTGCTCCCTGAGGATTATGACCTGGCCTCCCCTCCTCCCCAGGAGGCTCATCTTTGATTAGAGCTATCCCTTGAAGGAGCCATTTTCCAGTGCAAGACCTATGAATGCTGGGTCATGTCTTTCACCCCTTACACCCAAGATGATGACACTTGCACACCAGGGAGGGTGGAGGAGCCATGGGTTCTTTCCCTCCCTGACTCTCCTTCAGCCATCATGGCTTCAGTAGAGCACTGTCCAGGAGAACGTCTGTGAAAATAAAAATATTCTCCGCCTGCACTGTCCAGTATGGTAGCCATCGGCTGTGTGCGGCTACTGAGCATTTGAAATGTGGCTAGTGAGACTGAGGAACTGATTTTAAAAGTGTATTCAATTCACTCAAAATTATCTCGTAGCTCCATGAGTGTCTATTAGATGCTGTATTGGACAGTGACCTCTGTGTTTTCCCCAGACCTGCCACACTTGGCCCTTTCTCTGGTCCTGACATCACCTTCTCAGGCAGCCTTCTCTGAACATCTCATTTTCTTTAAAATAATTATTTTAACTTTATTTATATATTTACTTTTTTGTATTTTCTTTTCCTTAGAATTATTTTTATTTTATTTATTCATTTATTTTAATTTGACCAGAGAGAGAAAGAAAGAGAGGGTAAGTGCGAAAGCAAGCCACCAGGTCCGGGACTTAAACTGCGGTCGGCCATGTGGGAGTGTTCAGCGCCCTAACCACCATGCCACCTGCTGGCTCCCTATTTACTTATTTTGACAAGAGAGGAACAGAGAAAGAGAGAGAGGAGAAGTGAGAAAGCAAGCCACCAGGTCCAAGACTCGAACCACAGTCAGCCATGTGGGAGTCCAGTGCTCCTAACCACCATGCCGCCTGAATTCTGGCCCCCCGAATATCTAATTTTATAAAGCTCTCCTGCTGTTGCTCATGCCCCATCTCTAAGAGTCATGGACTTAAATTTCATTTCTACACTTATCACCAGATGAATTCCCGTTTTGTCTTTTCTCACTTTGTCCATAAAGACAGCAAGATCTCATTTGTCCTTTCACCATTCAGTCTTCATGAGAGATTGAATGGGAATGGGGACTAATGAATAGGTTGAGAATGCAGAGGATGCAGCCCTTGTTTATTTATTTATTTATTTATTTCTGTTTTTTTTTTTTAATTTTTTTTTTTAGTTGCAATCCTCTTTTCTTTCCCTCCAAGAACTTTGCCTAGAAACACCCATCATGGCACAATAGAACTCGCATTACTCTATGGCCTTGCCACTTGGACTTCTTTGAGTCTCTGGGGTCTGGAGGTGAGCATGCTCCAGAGCCGCAGCCCTCCACAAGATTCTCAGTTTAGAGGGGACCTGCACACCCCACAGTTCAGAGAACACACCCAAAAGTCGGTAGAAGGCTTCCTGGTCCTCAGGGCGGTAACTTGGTCGTCGTCTCTTGTTCAGTGTGAGCTTTGTTCCCTCAACGTGGTTGACAGTCCATATGGTCCGCTTCTTACCCCTCTTCCTGAAGGATTTCAGCTCAGAGACCGTTTCCAAGGGGACTGAATTGGAGGCCAGAGAGATGCTCTCATCGGTAGCTGTGGAAACAAAGACCTCAGGGACCACGGATGTGACCTATCTGGAAAGTCCTAAGGCCTTCTGTCGCAACTCACCCTAAAGGCTAGCCTCTGCCTGGGCAACAAGGTAACAAGTAGTTACTCAGCAGAACTGGCCCTTTGCGCAGGGACTAGGAAGTGGAGAGATGACTGAAGACACATACCTCTCTTGACGTGTACCAATTTCTTCATCTTCCGGCTCTTCTTCCTCTTAGTTCCCTGCTCAGGGATGGCCTCTGAAGAGGCAGAACTGGAGGCCACAGGGCCTCTGTGCTGTGGAGCTGTAGGGACAGAGAACCTACATGAGAAGGGACTCCTCCCTTCTCACTCACCTGGAAGATTTTCTGTGTGACATCTGAGGGGCTAGGAGAGGAATGTCTATCACCCCCCTTTGCATTTATCTACAAAGGGCAGAATTTAAATGATTTACCTTGCCTGTTCTCCTGTGCCTCTTTCCATGGCTCGTTCTGCCCAGAGGGCACCTCCATGGAGAAAAACGTGGGATTTTCTGGTCTTCTGTCTTCTATAACTACAAAAGTGAACAAGAAAGTGCCCTCTTGGCTCACCTGATATCCCTTCCTCTGAAGAGCTTGACTCAGGAGAATCAAAGGAAAGAGACTGTGCTGGGGCCTTAGTGTTGTCAGCCTTCCTTCATCCAGAGACTGGGATGAGGGGCAGACAGCCCCTCACCTGCCTTCCCTTCTACACACACCCTTTTCTCCTGATCCTTCTTTCCCGGGTCCTGTTGGATTGGAGTAGTCTCTGAACCTCCAAGAAGGATGTGGAGCTCAGAGGGACTCTGTCTTCTGTGGGAACAAAACAGTGTAAGGGACCTAACCTGATTCCAACGAGGCCATTTCTTTCTGCCTAACGACTTGTTGAGAAATATAATAATAATTAAAAAGGTAGTAGTAGTAGTTAACAGTTATCAATTGCTTATTAAACTGTAGATATTGATCTGTGTACTAAGATTCCCTCATTTATTGCCTCTCAGCCTCTTGGCTAAGATCGAGTGAATTACCTCATTTAATTCATATAATGTGTGAGGTAAAGTTTATAATTTACCTCTTTTACAGATGAGAAAATGATGACTGTGTAGGGTTTGTCCCTTAACGGTGGCTAGAGTACTTTGGATTTGGGATTAGAACTTGTGTCTGTTGAGTATTTGAAGGAAGAATGGCTAGTGGCAGTGACAGTTGAGCCATAGTCACATTTCTAGTAAGTTCAAACCAGAAGATCTTACTTTTGTTATTATTATTATTATTGCCATAGCTTTACCGAATATCCCTAAAACCCCTATAAATTCATAGACAATCAAGCCTGGTCAGAATATTTTTTCTGGTTGACAGGTGGCCTATGCCCATCTGAGCGATCGAGCACCTCATGGCTTTGTCAAGATCTAGGCCCTTGAAGTTAGGTCTCACACTTACCCAGAACACAGCCTCACGACAGTGTGAAAAGAGCACTGATCGTAGCCAAGCGTTTGGGATCAAATGGCTTCTAAGATTCCAGAGCACTTGTCCTCATACACCGATGACATCACACATTCCACCCAGAACTGCTCTTTATTAAAGGTACTCAAGGAAAAGGCCTTTGGCCTCCAGGGGAGTGGGTGAGTGTCCCAATATGAATACTGGAGTCGCCTCCTCTTATCCCAACATCATATCCCACTGGAACCTTGTCCTATGTTTAATCAAGTCCATTAGTGATTCCAAATGAAAATGATGCATCTACATATCAGAAGTAGAGAAGATAAAAATTAAATGTTGATCATCCCTCATCCATAATAAAAATGACTAATACAGTTTATTTTTATGGCCTTTCTTATTTGTGTCCAACTACCATCATATTCAAATTGAAAATTTTAAACTATATTTGGAAGTAAATGCATTTCACTTGCAATTGTAAGAAGTAATATGGAGAAGTCCTATAAACCCTTTATCCAATTTCTATCAATGCTAACAACTTGTATAGCTATAGTAAAATATCACAATAGGAAATTGGGAAAATCTACTTATTCAGATTTTGCCACTTTTTGGGTTATTTCCTGAAACAGAGAGAAAGAGAGTCACTCTTGACAGGATCTTCACGTTATTACCCTCCCGTTGGCCCTGCAGCCAGCCAGGATCATAGGTATGCCGGTGGGCACGCCCGGTGCGTTCAGGTCGATCTGGGAAGCGAACCCAAAGCCATAGATGACTGTGTCTCCCCCTCAACTCACATATTGAAACTTGGTCACCAATACGGTATCAAGAAGTTTACCTGGGGCCGGCAGGTGGTGTAGCTGGACTCCCACATGGTTGACGGCGGTTGAGTTCCAGACCCAGTGGCTTAAAACTCATGCTGGGCATGTGTGCCCCAAATCCCAAGAAGGGAATGTAAGACAAGGGACTGGGGTGTGGTCATCCCCCCTGGGGGGGGGGGGATGCCTCACTTTCTCTCTCAGTGTATCTGGCAAGCACACGCGTCTTATAGCAAAAATCTGTCTGAAGAAAAATATTTACCTTTAACAGTTGTTTAGTTTTGAGGGTGGAACTCTCATGGGTGGGATTATGGCCCTTGTTAAAGGGTTTGAGAAAGTGGATTTCCTTTATATCAGCTCTGTCACCAGGTGAGGACATTACATGGTCTGGAAATCGCAGCGATAAGGTGCCACCTTAGAAGCAGAGAGAGCACACACTGAACCTGCTGTTGCCTTGACCTTGGGCTTCCCAGCCCCTCAGAACTGTGAGAAGTAAATTTCAGTTATTTATTTATAAGTTACTCAGCCTCTGGTATTTTGTTATAGTAGCACAAACAGACTAGGATGAGGCCCTATGAGTGCCCTTCACGTCACCTGTCCAGGAGGTGAGGTCTGAGGGTCTCTCCCCATGCTCTTTACTCTCAGTCGTATTTGATTACTGCAGTGAGAGGGGACCTTGTCCCAGTTACAACACCAGCAGCAGGAGAAGAGTGACGATCTCACATCGATACAGTGGAGGGGAATGGGGGCAAATCCCGTGGGACTTGCTGTTCTTCCCAGAGTGAGTCCTTCCCTATTCCTGAACTGGGAAGGAATGTGGTAGACCACAGACCACCAGAGCAGGAGCCAGGTGTCCTGGATTCAAGTCCTTCTGACTGAGTGGAGGACCTCAGGGCAAGTCAGGTAACTCCTGTGATCCCCAGAGTAAAACAAAATAAACTTGAAAATAACTCTGTGGACGTAACAGCATACATAAATGTGCCATTGCCCCAGCAGGACTAAAGGTTAGACTAGGGAGGTCAGACCTGTTCCTTTGCCTTAAAGCAGAGAACTACACCTCAGTCTGGAATGTGCCCAGGGACCTAGTACAATACCGTCAATCCATTTCATGGCAACACCAGCAATGGTGCTTTCTGCGTTGTTAGACTGCTGTTTTCCGGTTCTTTTGGCTAGAGGGAGCAGGCTTTCCCTGGGGCCTTTTGTTCTGTGCTTACTGATGTTTCTAGTTGCTGGCTTCTTCAACACCTAGAATGAGACTTAAGAAATCCAAAAGAAAAGGAAATAGGGAGAAATTACAGCCTTATCACTGCTCACGTCCTGGGGTTCTTATTTACTCTTTCCTTCTCTCCATCTTTGAGTCATTCCTGCCTCATGTATATTGTCCAGGTTCGTTCATTCTTTCGTTCGTCCGTCCTTCCTTCCTTCCTTCCTTCCTTCCTTCCTTCCCTTCTTCTTCTTCTTCTTCTTCTTCTTTTTCTTCTTCTTCTTCTTTCTTCTTTTTTTTTTTCTTTTTAAGAGGTTTATGCTTTAGGGCATGTGTGCTTGCAGGAGAGAGAGAGAGAGAGAGAGGGGAAATGAATGAGAGGGAAGTGAGAAATTACCCCCCAGGGGGGATGGTCATACAGCAATCCCTTTTCCTCCAGACATCTTGGGCACACATGCACATGCACCTGGCATAATTTTTAAGCAACTGGGTCTGGGAATTGAACCGTGGTTGGCCATGTGGGAGTCTAGCGATGTAACTGCAACGCAATCTGCTGACCCCTGTCTAGGCATTTTCACATTTCTTAGAGGGAATCTATCTTGTCCATAGCCAGAAGTACTAGACAGTCACTTCATTGTTGTTAACTTTTGAGTTTTCAGTATGTCATTATTGTTAACAAACTTTATTCCATAGAGGGAGAGGTTGCCCTGCAAATGGCATTTATTAAAAAAAAAAAAAAGACAAAAACAAAACAGCAAATTGGGAAGAAAAATGTAAGCTGAGAATATGTAATAGCTCTATGCACACTATTTCCCCCTTTCATTTAATCATGGTTATACCTTACAATTATGATAGAGAGGTGGCACTCATGATGTTTTGTCAACCCCTAAAGTTGAAAGAGAATATTCATTCTTTCTCTCTCTTTCTCTCTCTCTTTCTTTCTTTCTTGCTTTCTTTCTTTCTTTCTTTCTGTCTGTCTGTCTTTCTTTTTTGAGAGGTTTTTGCTATAGGGCACGTGCACTCACCAGAGAGACAGAGAGAGACAGAGAAACAGAAAGCGAGAAATCACCCCCCAGAGGGGATGACCACGCCTCAATCCCTTCTCCAAGGACTTGAACCATGGTTGACCACATGCACGCATACACCCGATGTGAGTTTAAGCCACCAGGTCCAGGACTTGAACCATGGTTGACTACGTGGGAGTTCAGCGACACAGCCATTACGCTAACTTCTGGTCCCGAGAATATTCTTTTAAATACACCATGGAATACTGGTCAGCAATAAAAAGGAACATCTTTAGTGGATCCTAAGGAATTATGCTAAGTAAAAAAAGTCAATTTAAAAAGATTGTATGCTGTGCGATCCCATTTATACAGCATTACTGAAGTGATAAAACTATGGAGATGGATGGATTAGTAAACTGTCGGTTTAGGAAAGTAGGGACGGAGGAACTTCAGCTATAAAAGATAGAACATGGAGATTCCTTGTGATGGAGCTATTGTGTGTCTGGTGGTGGTCACACAGATCTTTACACAATAACATTGCATAGAATTATACACATGTGATGTGCACGTGCAGACACAGACACAGTTCAGTATGTGTAAAAGTGGTACAATACTAGTAAGGTGAATGCCCTGTAGCAGCGGCAGTGTTGTGGTTGAGGCCAGACACTACCCAGAGACTGGAGCTACCCATCTACTACTGGTGACCTTGTACTACAGGTATACACACTGTTGCCATTGGGGAAACTAGTGAAGGCTATGTGGGAACAATGTCTTACTCTTTTTTTCTTTTTTTTTTTTTTTTTGAGAGATTTTTGCTATAGGGCGCGTGTGTTTGCCAGAAAGACAGAGAGAGACAGAGAGACAGAAAGCAAGAAATCACCCCTCGGGGGGATGGCCACGCCACAATCCCTTCTCTTCCATTCTCCTCTTGGGATCTTGGGCACGCATGCACATGTGCCGGGTATGAGTTTAAGCCTCTGGGTCTGGGACTCAGACCACGGTCAGCTACATGGGAGTTCAGTGACATAGCCATTACATTAACTGCTGGTCCCACAATGTCTTATTCTTATAGTGGTTTCAAAATAAAAAAGTTTTTTTAAAAAAGAATTTTGCTGTTTTGCACTTTCTGCTACTGCAGCCTGCTGTACTCCCTTGGCCGGTGCAAACAAAGAGGAAATAGACAGCCTAATTTGTTTCTGCTTAATGGTCTCTTGTGTGCACAGACAAGACCCATTTTTCTTTTTTTTAGTATATTTTTTAATGTCAAGAAAAGCCGTTTTAGCTTTAATAAATCAAAGAAATGCTAAGAAACTTTGCTTAAAACTTAAAGCCAAGAAACAGGTTAGCATTCTGTTCAAATAGTAGGTACATGAACCTATCGGCAGATCAAGACAGGA